GAGCAGCCAGGACTTGAACTGGCAGAGACCGTGGGTCCTCTTGGCCTCCATCACTGCATGCGCGGGTTCCTGTAATCCCTCCCTCCTCCCCTCCCCCTCCCTTCCCCTGCGCCCCCTTCTCTCTCTCCACCAGTGCTTTTGTTTAAAGAACCCTAACTAACACAGTTCAAAACCAAGCAAAGTTCAATAATACATCGCTTACAACAGTGCTGTGCACTTGTTCTGGAGCATTCTTTGCAGTGGTTAGAATATTCCTCGACCGAGCTGCCCAGTATGGTAACAACTAGTAACGTGTGCCTATTAGCACTTAAAACGGGACAGATGAGGAGCAGGTGTTTCATCCAGCAGATGAATGCCCGTGTTCCATGTTGGAGGACCGACTGGGATTCAACACTCAGCTCCAGGTCCTGCCTCCAGGTGCCTGCTAACGCAGCCCCTGGGAGGCAGCGGTGATGGCTTCATCGCTTAGGCTCCTGCCCACGGGGGAGACCTGCATTGAGTTCCCGGCTTCTGGCTTTGGCCCTGGTCATTCTGGGCATTTGGGAAGTGAAGTAGCAGATGGGAGCTCTCGCTGTCTCTCTCTGCTTCTCAAAAAAAGGATTAGAGGGCTGGCACCATGGCACAGTAGGTTAATCTTCTGCCTGTGGTGCCGGCATCCATTATGGGCACCGGTCCTAGTCCTGGCTGCTCCTCTTCCAATCCAGCTCTCTGCTGTGACCTGGGAAAGCAGTGGAGGATGGCTCAGGTCCTTGGGCCCCTGCACCCCTATGGGAGACCCGGAAGAAGCTCCTGGCTCCTGGCTTTGGATCGGCATAGCTCTGGCTGTTGCGGCCATTTGGGGAGTGAACCAGCAGATGGAAGACCTCTCTCTCTCTCACTGTTTGTAATTCTACCTCTCAAATAAATAAATAAATAAATATGTAAAACCAAAGAATTAAGAAATAAAGACAAGTGTGGCTCAGGAACCAATTTCAATGTAATGAAAATCTAAGCTTATTACATGTTGCTAGTGGCTGCCATGTTTTACAGCCAGGTTTATAAAGACAATCAATGGAATAATAAATACAAAATTCAGAATACTGGTTATTTTTAAAAAAGAGTTTTAATTTTATTTATTTGAAAGGATTACAGAGTGAGGGAGGTCTTCCATCCACTGGTTTGCTCCCCAAATAGCCGCAACGTTGGGAGCTGAGCGGATCTGAAGCCAGGAGCCAGGAGCTTTTTCTGGGTCTCCCATATGGGTGCAGAGACCCGCATGGCTTCTCTCTGGCTTCCTCGAACTGGCACCCATATAAGATGCCAGTGCCAGCCCCTACAGTTTTCTGATTCACTCCCCCAATGCCTGTAACAGCCAGGGCTGGGCTGGGCTGGAATGAAAGCCAGGAGCCAGAAACTCAGTCCAAGTTTCCTACATGGGCGGCAGGGAGCTCATTAACTGAGTCATTGCTGCTGCCCCCCTGTGTGCATTAACAGGAAGCTGGAGTTTGCTGTTGGCTATTGTGGGAGGTCTCTGCACAGAGCCTAGCGCAGCTCACAACAGCAGACCTGGAGAGAGCGCTCGAGACACAAGGCACCAGCTTTGTATAGGCTAGTCTTGGAAGTGGTGGCCATGCTATCACTAGATTGGGGCCAGCGCTGTGGCATAGTGGGTAAAGCTGCCACCTGCAGTGGATGGCCAATGGCCCAAGTCCTTGGACCCCTGCACCTGTGTAGGAGACCCTGAAGAAGCTCCTGGCTTCTGGCTGCGGAATGGCCCAACTCCAGCCATTGAGGCCATTTGGGGAGTGAACCAGCAGAAGGAAGACCTCTCTGTGTGTTTGTCTCTCTCTTCCTCTGCCTTTCAAATAAATAAGTCTTAAAAAAATAGGCTTGCTAGATTCAGCCAACACTGAAGGGGGAGGGGATTAAGCAAAGTGCATCAATACCAGGAGACAGGGTTGGTTGGGGGCCGCCCACCACAGTGGGGCATCTTCGTCCATCGTGGGAGTGGCCCACAGCAAGGAGTGACGATGAGGAGTGAGGCAGGCAGAGGCACCTCTGCAGTCACTGGTCCCTTTTCCACGGCTCCTTCTTGGCCAGGCTGCATGCTCCTGATTTATGAATCTGTCACAGCAAGGGCTGAGATCACGTCCTGCTGACAAGGCCACCACAATCAGATCACCCCCACACACAGGAGCTCACGTCCTCTACCTGTGACCCCCCTCTTTCCAGTATCACCTTCTTGGACAATGGGGAACGTGTTCATGGCAGCCGCTGGGTCTCCCGTGCCGCCCACTGGTTTCAGCTCTGGCCTGGGGCCTCTGGCTTCCTCGCCCACACATGACCACCTGTGCCCAACTAATTATGTTCCCTCTCCTTAATGTTCCCAGATACCTCAGCCTCAGAGGGATGACATAAGCCAGGTGGCTGGCCTTTCATTGACCCCTCCTCCAGACTACCGGAGGACATGCTGTTCCCTTGTTCATGAAGGTGTGGGCAAAGAAAGGGAAAACACAGCTCAGGATAGACATGGCTTTAATTTAAAATCAAATGCCTGATGTCATTCTTTTTAAACAATTCTTTCATTGTTTGAAAGGCAGAGCAGGAGAAAGAGAGAGGGAGAGACAGAGATCTTCCATCCACTGGTTCACTCCCCAAATGGCTGCAATGGCTCGGGCTGGGCAAGGCAGAAGCCAGGACTCCATCCGGGTCTCCCACGTGGACGGCAGTGACCCAAGCACTTGGGCCATTTTCTGCTACTTTTCCAGGTGCACTAGCAGGGAGCTACATTGGAAGTGGAGCAGCGGCCTTGAACCAAGGCTCTGATACAGGATGCCAGTGTCATGGTGGTAACTTAACTGCTGCACCACACTGGCCCCTAGATAGTATTCTAGAAAAGTCTGGATCGTGTTAAAGAACAATTATTCATGATACAAGTTAAAGCATGGGAAGGAAGACTATTCAGAAAGGTAAGGGACAACGGAGCTCAACCCCAAATACAGCCTGGGAAAGTAGATGAAAAACCACTAGACATAACATCGAAAGGAGTTCCTGAAAGCAGGCCAGGGTGATTAGCCATCACCTGGGGATGGTGGAGCCTGAGGAATCAGATCAGGTATAGGGGGAGGGGTTCTTTCTTAACTGACTCAGCAGGGTTCTTGCTAAAACCTGATTTTACAAAAAAAAAAAAAAAAAAAAAAAAAAAAAAAAGTGCAGAGATGGGCCTAGAAGAAATTTCAGGAGCTTGATTCAAGTTTTGTCAAGCCGAGAATCTTTGTCATCCGCCGCAGTGAAATTCTCACAGGCAGCTTTTTGGCTCAGGCTTGGCCTTGTGCCATCTTGTTCTTTCCTGCCTCTTCCCCAGGTTTCTTAACACAGCGACAAATTTCTCTTGATTATGCTGAGCAGTCAGCACCCTACCCCGACTCTAAACCATGCTTCAGGCCTATTTCTGCATACCCCAAACGCATATAAAATGCTTTGCTTTTAGACCTTTACTTATATTAAAACAGGAACTTTTTTTTTTTAAAGATGTTTATTTGAGAGGTAGAGTTACAGAAAGTGCGAGAGACAAAAAGTGGTCTTCCATCTGCTGGTTCACTCCCCAAATGGCCGCAATGGCCGGTGCTGAGCTGATCCGAAGCCAGAAGCTTCCTCCAGGTCTCTCAGCAGGTGCAGGGGCCCCTGCACTTGGGTCATCTTCCACTGCTCTGCCAGGCCATCACAGAGAGCTGGATGGGAAGAGGAGCAGCCGGGACTCGAACCAGTGCCCATATGGGATGCTGGGGCCATAGGTGGAGGCTTAGCCCCCCTACACCACAGTACTAGCCTCAAGCTTTTTTTTTTTTTTTTTCTCTTCTACATATCCTGGTCTAAATACTTAAGGCAGAGCTTCTCCCTTCAGGCAACAGTAAAAATAACAGTAGAATCGGCTAGGGCCCAGGTTGCTTCTGGAGGTCTCCAGTGCCCTCCACCCCAGGGTCCCCAGCCCCTGGCCTCCCGCCTGGTCACACTACTGCGCTGAACAAGTGCTATGCCGGCAACGTCGCAGTAGACGCCAACTGTAGTGATGCCAGGAGACCTGATGCAGGCCGGAAGCCCCGCCCCTCACGCAACCCACGCACGCCTCCGCGCCCGTTCTCCCGCTCACCGCCATCTTGCCCACTAGGACCTCTCAAATGGCGCTGCGGATCGTGAGCGCCGCGCTGCTGTTTGTGGGGAGCGTTCCCTTATACTGGGAGCAGCACTCGCTCCCTGACAGGACTCGGCTTGCCTCATCTTGGGCAGCGGCCGGTGGCCTGGAGCCTGCCGAGGCTGCGCGTGGGCGGCTCAGGGGGCACAGGGCATCCCCGAAGGCCCAGTCTGATGCAAAGGGCAGTCTGTTCACCCCCGTCCTGGGCTGTCCCAAATGCTGCCGCCTTTGAATTTGGGGCCTTCCTGTTCTGTTGTCCCAACTTCCTGTAACAGAGTTGTAGACATCAGTTTCTAGAACTGTTAGGCTGAGCATAGTGGTAATAGTACAGATGACAGAGTTGTGTGTGGGGGTCTCTAAGTGCTCCTCAATCCACTGTGGGGCTCATTTTCTTTACAGATGAGTAACTCATTGGAATTCAGAGCCGAAAGGGCTATTGGGTGACCTTTTACTACAACTGAGCACAGTTAGCCCAAGTTAAATGACAAGTATTCGGACTTGCAGCTCTGGATTCAGCAATCCCAGAATCTTTAACCTGTTTCACACAGGGGAGGAAGTGGCACCTGGCTAGAGAAACTGACCTCATTTTTACACTTTTGAGGAACAGAATCCTAAAAGTAATGAACTGTGTTGATTTCAAGCCTTTGTTTGTAAGGAGTCAATTATGGCATATTTGTCTTAACTGTCCATTAAGATTCGTTAAAAATAGGAGCATGTGCCAGGTCTCCAGCTTGGCTTTTTTAAAATAGGAATGTAAAGGATCATACTAATGTGTTTACATGAGGAAGAAACATAGATGCTACAAATAATATATCATTTTCATTTTTAGATTGTGGAACAGCACCGCTTAGGGATATGTTGAAAGGGTCTCGGATTGTGGGAGGCACGGAAGCTGAGGCTGGCACGTGGCCATGGATAGTTAGCCTGCAGCTTAAGTATGGCCGGCTTCTTGCTCATATATGCGGGGGAAGCCTAGTGAGAGAAAGATGGGTTATCACGGCTGCCCACTGCACCAAAGACATGAGGTATGTATTCAGATCACTTTACTCTCCAACTTTATTCTCTTTGGGATAGTTTGTGGTGGTAGGGCACCTTTTGACTTCAGCTACTTTCACTCAAGGCATTTGTTTGCAAGTAGCCATGATGCCATATACCCAGTAAACTGTATTTGTGGAAATTAATCCCTTAAGTCAGAGGTTGGCAAACTTCTGTAAAGACTAAATATTGTAGATATTTGCAGGCCACATGGTTTATGGTGCAGTTACTTAGCATGAAAGCACCCATAGACAATACCTACTTAGGTAGGTATGCATATGAATGGGTGTGCATATGATCCAATAAGACTTTCTATATGAACGCTGACATTTGAAACCTGTTATGAAATTTTTTTAACCACTTAAAAATGATTGAAAAAGAGACTCCCTTTTCCTCAATTTGCATTACCCCGTGAAATCTCCATTGCAATCTGATTTCTGTGACCAAAACACGATAAAGATCCTCTTCCATGCTAAACCCAGTGACCTCAGTTCTCTTACTGTTGGATCTCTAAAGCATTTGGCCATGTTGACTACATCCTCACCTTGAAAGTCTCTGTTACTCATTTCTAAGGCACCATTCTCTCCTTTTTTCATTTATCCTCTTCTTTTATTTTAATTTTTTTATTTTGAGATATTTATTTGAAAGAGAGAGAGAGAAAGGGAAAGAGAGAGAGAACACACTCTCATCTATTGGTTCACTCCTCAAATCCCCAAAAGGGCTGGAGCCAGGAGCCAAAAGTTAAGTCTAGGTCTCCCATGTGGGTGGAAGGGACCCTATCAATTGGGCCATCACCACTCTATCCCAGAATCCACACTAGAGTCAGGAGTTGGTGCTGGGTATTGAACTCAGGCAATCTGGAACATGGGTATCTTTTTTTTTTTTTTTTTAAGATTTTATTTATTTGAGAGGCATAGTTAGAGAGGAAGGGAAAAAGAGAAAGGTCTTCCATCCCACTGGTTCACTCCCCAGATGGCTGTAATGGCTTGGCTGAAGCCAGGAGCCAGGAGCTTCTTCTGGGCTGCCCACATGAGTGCAGGGGCCCAAGGACTTGGACCATCATGTACTACTTTCCCAGGCCACAAGCAGAGAGCTGTATTAGAGGAGCAGCAGCCAGGACACAAACCAGTGCCCATATGGGATTCTGGCCCAGCACCATAGGTGCAGTCTTAGCCTATGCCATAGCACCGCCGAAGAACATGGTGTCTTAACCACTAACCTAAACAGCCACTCCTGTCGTTTTTGTTTTTGTTTTTAAGACAACTATCTTTTTTTAAAAAATTAATTCATTCATTTGAAAGGCAGATACAGAGAGAGAGAAAATGAGATATCTTCCACCCACTGGCTAACTCCCTAAATGACCAGCCAGAGCTGGGCCAGGCTGAAGCCAGGGCCCAGGAGCTTCATCTGAGTCTCCTATGTGGGAAGCAAGGGCCCAAGCACTTGGACCATCTTCTGCTTTTGCAGGCCTATTAGCAGGGAGCCAGATCAGAAGTGGAGCAGCCAGGACTCAAACTGGTGCCTATATGCAATGCCAGCATTGCAGGCAGAGGATTAACCTTCTATGCCACAGGACTGGCTCCTCCTGTCGTCTTTTAAATTACAGTGTTTTCTAGAGTTCTGTTCCCTATTCTCTTGCCTTATCATTCTGTATTCTTTCCTAGAGATGTCTCATCTACTTCTGTTGCAGCTATCATCATGTGTGGGCACCTTCTAATCTTTCCTGATGAGTCACATACCCCACTCCCTACTGTACATACCTATTGGAATAATATTCTCAACAAATGTAAAATTGATCTTTGTATCTTTCCTCTAACTTTTGTTAGTTTTCTAAGTTAGTAGCATCAGCCAGAGCTCTATTATGCAGAAAGTTACCTGATTTCTGTCACTTCACCTGTCCAGTTGGTCCTCAAGACCTGTGAAGTCTGTGCAGTACTTAAGTTTGTTTATTCTGTCCTTCAGCACTCCCTATGGGTTAGAAATAAATCTAGAATGTCAGTCTCCATATCTCTATATCATAACTTACCTACTTATCCTTATACTATTACTGTAATAGCTGTCTTAATAAGGGTGAAGTGGGAGCTCATTGCGACTAGGATTTCCATGTCCCTAATTACTAGTGATACTGTTCATATGCTCATTGGCCATTTATATATCTTCTTTGGAGAAATGAGTACTCAGATCATCTGTCCATTTTTTTAAAAAAATTATTCACTTCTTTGAAAAGCAGAGTGACAGAGAAAGGGGTGGGGGAGAAAGAAAGAGAAAGAGATCTTCCATTTGTTGGATCACTGCACAAATGCCAGCAACAGCCAGGGCTAGGCCAAGCTGAAGCCAGGAGCCAGGATATCCATCCGGGTCTCCTCTGTGGGTGGCAGGACTTAAGTTATTTGAGCCATCATCTGCTGCATTCCTGGTGTATTTGCAGAGAGTTGGACTGTAAACAGAGTAGCTGGTTCTCCCACAACACACTCTGTAGGCATCCCAAGAGGCAACTTGACCTGCTGCACCAGAACACCCTCCTCCCACCAACTTTGTCCATTTTTGAATTAGGCTGTTCTTTTGTTGTTGAATTGTAGTCATTTGGCAGCTTAACCTGCTGCACCATAACACATGCCCTCTTTGTTCCTTTTTGAATTGGGTTTTTGTTGTTGCTGTTGAACTGTAGTAGTTCTTTGTATATTCTGTATGTCAATCCCTTATCAGAACTACGACTTGCATGTTTTCTCCCATTCTGTGGTTCTGTTTTCACTCTGTTGATCGTGTCCTCTGATGTATAAAAGTTTTCAATTTTGATGAAGTCTAATTTATCTTAATTTTTTTCTTTTGTTGCCTTTGCTTGTCATAGCTAAGAAATTACCAAATCCAGTATTATAAAGCTTTTCTCCTGTGTTTCTTTCTAGGAACTTTATAGCTGTAGTTATTAAATTTATGTCTTAATATATTTTGTTAATTTTTCTATATGCTAGAAGGTATGGGTACAATTCTATCATTTAGTATGTAGGTATCCAGCTTTCTCTGCACTGTCCTTTTCTCATGGATTGGACTTGGCACCCTCATTGAAAAATCAACTGACCACATACATGGGTTGAAGTTCATGGAAAATGGAATGCAAAAGTAAGTTTATTTTGGTGCAAAAAATTTAAGTTCACGCATAGATGTCTTCACAAAGTTCATGGGAAATATGTAGTATGAAAAAACTGCATGGATTTCAAATTTTGAAAACAAAACAAACTTGCCTTTCATTTCATTTTCCATGAACTTTTAGAATCACCCTCACATGAGAAGATGTATTTCTGAGCCATTTTTTCCCATTATTGTGTATGTGTCCTTCTACTTATACTGCACTGTTTTGATTACTGTAACTTTGTAGTGTAGTTTGAAATCAGGAAGTGTGTATCCTCCAGGTTTGTTTTCCAAGGTTATTTTGGCTATTTGGAGTCCCCTTATATTCCATAAAAGTTTTTTTTTCTTTTTTATTTAGTAAATATAAATTTTCAAAGTACAGTTAATGGATTACAATGGCTCCCTCCCCCCATAATTTCCCTCCCACTCACACCCCTCCCATCTCCCGCTTCTTCTCCCATTCCATTCACATCAAGATTCATTTTCAATTATCTTTATATACAGAAGATCAATTCAGTATATATTAAGGAAAGATTTCATCAGTTTGCACCCACACAAAAACACAAAGTGTAAATACTGTTTCAGTACTAGTTATAGCATTACTTCACATTGGACAACACACTAAGGACAGATCCCACATGAGAAGTAAGTACACAGTGACTCCTGTTGTTGACTTAACAATTTGACACTCTTGTTTATGGCGTCAGTAATCTCCCTAGGCTCTAGTCATGAGTTGCCAAGGCTATGGAAGCCTTTTGAGTTCTCCGACTTCGATCTTATTCTGACAGGGTCATAGTCAAAGTGGAAGTTCTCTCCTCCCTTCAGAGAAAGGTACCTCCTTCTTTATTTCACCATTGCCCAACTTAAGAATGAACCATCCTTTATCAGGGGCTCACCTCTGTCCCAGAGGGACATGTATTGACTGAGAGTCTTTGACAACAATGGCTAGGCACTTTCCCTTGCACAGGGATATGGGTGTATAAGCATCAATGGATATTTCTAGGAAAGGGGAAGAGGATTTTTTTTAAAAAGAAAGCTTTTATTTAATGAATATAAATTGAATAGGTACAGCTTTAGGAATATAGTGGTTCTTCCCCCATACCTGCCCTCCACCCCCACTCCTGTCCCACCTCCTACTCCTTTTCCCATTCCATTCTTCATTAAAATTTGCTTTAATTAACTTTATATACAGAAGACCAATTCTATACTAAGTAAAGATTTCAACAATTTTCACACACACACACGCAAAGTATAAAGTACTATTTGAGAACAAATTTTACAGTTAATTCTCATAGTACAACTCATTAAGGACTGAGGTCCTACACGGGGAGTAAGTGCACAGTGCCTCCTGCTGTTGATTTAACAATTAACGCTCTTATTTTTGATGTCAGTGATCACCCAGGGCCCTTGACATGAGCTTCCAAGTCTACGGAAGCCTTTTGAGTTCACAAACTCCATCAGTATTTAAACAGGGCCATAAGCAAAGTGAAAGTTCTCTCCTCCCTTTAGAGAAAAGTACGTCCTTCTTTGATGGCCTGTTCTTTCCACTGCGGTCTCACAGAGATCCTTCATGTAGATCATTTTTTGCCACTGTGTCTTGGCTTTTCATGCCTGAAATGCTCTCATGGGCTTTTCAGCCAGATATGAAAGCCTTAAGGGGTGATTCCAAGGTCAGAGTGCTTTTTAGGGCATTTGTCATTCTATGAGTCTGCTGTGTGGACAGCTTCCCATGTTGGAACTTTCTCTCCTTTGTAATTCTATCTATTGTTATTACCAGTCACTTGGCCTTATTTATGTGATCCCTTTTTCACTTCCTATCTATATGATCAATTACATATTTAATAAGATTACTTTAAGATGTAAG